TGTCGGTTTCTATCTCAGCTGTTCTATTCGATCCGCTTGCGGTGCCGTAGATGTGCTCTTGAATTATTTTCGGTTTGCACATCGGATTTATATTAGTTTCTGGTAGTTTTTTCTTTTCTGTCTTATATTTTTTCTTGACGTACATAATTGCTATTATGGTAATTATTATTATTATTATTATTCCTGTGCAACTTGAAGCTACGGGATATATAACGTGTTCGTTAGTAGTAAAATAATTGTTATTTAAGTCTTCGTTTGTTTCGTCAAGTCTTTCGCTTAGGTCCCTTAATTCTGTCGGGTTTCTAATGACTTTTCGTAATTTTATCGGTCTAATTTTGTCCAGTATTTTTTCGTTTCGTATGTCATGTATCATCGTAAGATTGTAATCTGGTAGATTTGTCTGTACGATTGTTATTATCGCGGGCTTTTTTGTTCGTATTATGACGTCTTGCGTCGTTAATTTACATTTTTCCTTTAATGTGATTTGTCCGCTTCTTTTTATTTCTAGTTTTCGCGTTGCGTCGTTTTCGCACGTTATTTCGATCGGTTGGTTTGCTCGTGTAGAGTATAACCATGAGTTCGCATTACTCAGCGCTGTCCATATTGTTGTATTCGTGTGTATGTGTCGAATATTACAATTGTTTGTGTATGTCTCTAACTGTACATACGCTTGTACTTCGCATAGCGCTCCTTCGTCTAAATAATGTATGGGATAATTTTGTTCGCAAACATATTGGTCATTATTTCGCACGCATTTATTTAGATCGTTTTCGGTAGGCGTAAAATACGTTCGGCTATCTACATCTATCGCTATTATCGGTTGATTTACTTCTATAAATATAAATGTATTATTGAATTTGTGCGTAGGTAATGGGATTGCCTTTATTATTTCATACTCGGGGTATGTGATTAGCGGAATCTTTATAATCGTAAATATATTTGTATTATCGTAGTATGCGCTAATTGTTAAGAACTTTTCGATTGTTCTCCAATTTTCTGCGGATATTTGAAATGGGAAGTGCGTTCCCTGCGGTATTTGTGACGCTGTTTCCTTCATGTTATCTAGAATGCTTTCGATGGGTAATAATCTTATGTCGATTATCTCTTTTTTCGCGTTCGTCAGATGCGCGATAATGTCCATAAGATCGTTCGATAGATCTTTTATTATGGCATTTAATATTATGAAGTGTTCGTCGAGATCTTCTCGTTGTCCATATCCGACTTTTGTTTGTATCCAGGCTTGTCGCATCTTCTCTGTTTTTTTTTAGAATTGTTCTTCATTTTCTTGCAGAACTTTTTCAACATTATCAACATGCGCAATTGTTGCGTTTAATATTTTAATCTGATTTTTCATCGCGTGCTGCAGCGTTTGCTGATTTCTTTGCATGAGATTTAATTGCTCCTTTATAATTTTTTCGTCGTCTGCGTCCATTGTGCCGAAGAGTGTTTTGGCTATCGTTCCTAGACCGTCGATTAGCCCTCGTCTTGTCTTCTTGGGTGCTTGGTACGCAAATTTTAGGCGTTTTAGCAATTTTTCTGCTTGTTCTCTGTCCTTTTCTGCTATTTGTAGCAGGTTGTGGCAGGTTTCTTTCATTTTTATTTGCAATGGTTTATCGTAGCATAGAGCTCTCGTTTGTGCCATATAGTTTCTCAATTGTTCATGTCGATGGTCCATTGCGGCGATGTCTATTTTTATCACCATCTTCCATGTGGACTCGATTTGGTTTATTTTGCCCATTTTTTCGAAGTAGATACCCGGTTCATATTTAAATTCTTTTATTTCGACTTGGGTATCAGGTTCGGTTTCCTTACAGGTGCTCCGTGCAATAAGACTCCTGTAATAGAAAGCTTTGTATTATATTATAATATTTTCTTAGCATCATTTGCGGTGCATTCTCTTTTTCTCTGGATGCATATACAGCTATTTTTGCTTTTATCTAGCCCTTTTCAGGCTTTTTATCTCTTCCATTCTTCAGTCCGTCTTCCGACGTCGTCTTGTATTGAGCGTTTCTTTTCTATTTTCTCTCGCGTTGTTTTATTATTGCTTTGTGTTGTCGATTGGTGGTTTTATGGCTCCGAATTCGAGTGAGTTTCGTTTCGCTGCGGGGCAGAGTTCAGTGCGTGATAACGGGCGTCGCGCGGGGCAAGATCCGGAGGAGCACGACCATTTTGCTCGCTCCTTGGGATCAACGGGATCAACTCTCGGCGCCCGCGTTTGTTCGCGAGATCGATCTACTAGGTCTTCCAGATCTAGTGATTGACCGTGCCGTTCCGGAAGTGGCGGAAGTGGCTGTAGACGCTCTGCCGCCCCATTTTAATCGAGGTCGCGGGCTTGAGTTCCGCTGGGATCCGGCTCCTCGTTTCGTGGGACGTGGTTGGTTTCTCAACCCCGAGCCTCGTCCTGTGGGTCGTGGTCGCTTCCTCAACCCCGAACCTCGTCCTGTGTCGCCTCTTCTTCAGGCTCTGCGGGAGTGGAACCGGGGTCGCGGTGCTGGACGTGGAAGTGGAGGGCGTTAAGGTAGGAATTTTTTATTTCTGTTCCTTATTATTTATTCTATTTTTTATTTTATTCGCGCATTTTTCTGTTTCTTTTTCTTCTTTCTCCTACTTTTTTAATTTTCGATAAATGGTTTTAATCGATTTATGTGGACGCGTATGATTTTCCTTTCCCTTTTTATTGTGTAGTTCACTTCCGAATTGTTTTCGGTTATCGTCGACAATGTCGTCGGTAATGTTGCTCGGTGCCCGTAAATTAATTCGAAGGGTGTGAACCCTGTCGCCGTGTGCGGTGTTGTATTGTACGTAAACATCGCGTAGGGAATCCATTCGTCCCAATCCGTTTGATAATGTCAGATATATTCGGCTAGAGTCCGGTGAGATCGTTCTAGCGTTCCGTTGCTTTCCGGATGATACGCGGTTGTTTGGATCTTTTCGATTTTTAATAGTTTGCAAGTGTTTTTAAATATTTCACTTAAAAAATTTGTTCCTTGATCCGTTAATATTTTTTCTGGGATACCGTGTTCGAAAATTATTTTCGTCGCAAATTCTTTTGCAATTGTCGCGGCTTCTTGATTCGGCATCGGAATTGCTTTGCTAAATTTTGTTAAATTATCTTGAAACGTTAAAATATATTTATTTCCATTATTAGTAATCGTTAGTGGACCTACGATGTCCAAAGCACATTTTTCAAAAGGTT